AAAAAAAAAAAAAAAAAAAAAAAAAAAAAAAGAGGAGAGACAAAAACAAGGACATTAGAGGAATTTGAAGCCTTTGGCACCTATGTTACCACAAACATTAAAAAGAGAACAACTGACAAAGATCCTACATAAAGGAGGAACTTCCAAGGAGAAATGAATGCTGGTAAAATGAAATCCTTGAGTTTTCCGCCTCTTAATCAATCTAAAAACTAACTTTTATCAGCCCTGGTGGCCTAATGGATAACATATAACTGTTTTAAGGGAGAGTAGTAACAATGTGTTAAGGAATTATGGCACATGGATAAGTGAAATTAATGACAGCCACGTCACAAGGATGGGAGAAAAGAATTGGGAATACTATGTTCTAAAGTTCCTGAACCCATGAAGTGGTGTGGTGTTATTTCAAGGTGGGAGTAGTTTATTTTAAAAATGCATATTGTAAACTCTAAGGAAAGCATAAAAAATTTAAGAAGTATAACTTACACTCTTAAATGAGGAGATAAAATGGAAACATTAGGGGAAACTGGGAACTGGGTACAAGGAACAGTCTGTACTGTTTTTGCAACTTTGCTGTAATTCTAAAATTATTCCCAAAGTAGTAGTTTAATATGCTCCTTAAGTGTACCTGCTTAATTATGAAACTATCTCAAATAAATTAATAGTGCATCTCTTGCCCTCAGTTCCGAATTTTTGAAAAGTAAAAAATCCTGGAAAAATTAGCACATTTAAGTCAGTTTCTCCACCTCACTCCAGGTGATTCTTTCCACATTGTCCCTCATTTGGCTATATAAATTATTTAGTTCTTTTTAGGATGCTAATACAGCTGTCCCTATAGCTATGTATGCCCCATTCATGTATGTAAGAGAATATGCCCACATAGATTGCTGGATATATATGCCCTTATTCATGTTTTCAAAGACAAAAAATAAACAAGTAAGAGGATTGATTTTATTCAGGCTTTTGCAATAAGAATATCAGAATGTCTTGCAGGGTGGTTTTTGCCTTAGAAATGTTTAGGGAAAGTAGAAGAGTTACAGGTGGGGCTGATTTACAATTGGAATTACTTTGCAATTAGGTGAAGTCTCAGTCAGTTAGATGAACAGGAAGGTTCATCTCTGTGTCTGGCTAGTTTTAGAAGGACAAACAGTTCTGAGCTCAGCTAATTATTTCATGAAACAAAGAAAGGGAATTTGAGAGATCAGTGCCTGGTCGTATCAGCAGGTTAAGGCAAAAGGGGAAAAGTGGGTGTTTCCCTGGTCACAGATAAACAAGGGAGTGATCTCCAGGTCTTAGGGGACTCCTGAGAAGGCCTGGGTAGCAAATCTTATCTTAAGTGGGGTGGTTCTTTGTGGTACACAAAAGGTGGAGGATTTCGGAAAACAGAGGATAAGGTGATTTCTTAACTGTTGCTATTTTCTGAGATCACAAATCACAGGTAAAATTCAAAACTGTTGGGCCTCAGTTCTGTTCATGACCAAGAAATGTCATCCATTGTTGAACAACACAGAGACAATCATAAACCTTTGAGTGGGTCAAATCTGGGTCTAAGGAGTAATCTCCCGAAGGCTCTTGTTTGGCATTGTTCCTGCAAAATCATTTGAACAATTGTTGAGAGGAAGTGGAAAAGATGAGCGTTTACGAGTTCTGGAGATCAGGCGTCTTAAAAGAGGGATTCTAAAATGAAGAAGAGAAACATTAACATAAAATATTATAGTAAGTAAAAAGTCTGTACCCTCTCTTTTCCATGTGAAAATTAGAGGCAAAATCATATCAACTTAAAATTATGTTTAGTAACTAATTTTCAGTATTTTCTCTTATTTAGAAATGTATAGGTATCTAAAGAATACTATTATTTAAGTCAGTTGAGCATAAGTCTAATGTTTTAAGTTACCTAAAAATCTTGGAAACTATCTTCATACCACAAAGCATAAGCACTGTTAAGATAAGATTGGTTTGAATAATGATTCAATTTGGTTAAACAAAAATTTACATTTTTCATAATCTGAAACATCTGGTAGAGACAATGCTAGTTTATTCAATCAGAAAAAAATTTTATAAGTTTAGGAAGAGCATATCCAGGCAGAGTAAAAATGTATGATGTTGAATACATAGCTGTTTTTATTAAACCAATAATATTAAACTAGTCTTTTTTGACAAAGATATGCCTTAATTATGTAAACTTGAATTTTAAAAACTGTTTAGTTAGTTTCCATAAGAATACTTTTTTAAGCATATGAAAATATCAGAAGTTCAGTTTCCTTAATTTCTGGTAATTTTAGAACTATTTATGTGTGTTTGTTTATGTTTAAGCTAATCAAAACAGAATTCTCTTTAAGAAATTTCATAGTGCAATTTTGAAATACCATCCAAAGGTAGAAACTTATTACACGTTCATAGACAAAAATACAT